TCAAATAGATCAAGCTTCGTCCATCATAATCAGAAAGAAGACGAGCCATGTGCACGAGATTATGATTGATCAACCACTGTGACACTTCTGCTTCGGACCAATCCAGTATGTTATCAGGAGGTGTTGATGGGAGAGATGTTGATAACTGTACTGGTGAACTGGAAATTACTACGTTGGATTCCTGATTAACTTCTCCATTCCGGTCAGGAGTATCGTAGAAAAGTGGAGCTTTGAGTTCTTTTATTAATGCATCGAAAGCTTGTGGAAAAGCATATTTCGTAAAGTTAATGTAGTATAATTGTCCGATAAGAAATAAAAGCCAGCCATCTGGTTTGTAGTGCTTTTGTAAAAGAATAGGAACAATTCTGAGTCGACGCTGAAATGCATACTCTGCTTCTGCTCGACAATAACTACTGCATCGATAGCTTTCACTCATACAAATGATGATTGTTTTTGATTGTTCAATAGCGTGTGCCATTGCATCCATGACATTGCCATGAATTTGATCAAAATCAATCCATACTCGAAATCCTTTTCGAGTAAGTTCCTCATACAGTTGTTGGCAAATTTGCTTGTCGGCATGTGAATAGCTGATCATAATATCAAATATCATCTCGAGGTTTTTCTCTGATATTGAATATTCATCATGATTCAATTCCAAATTCCAGAAGATTCCATGGGCAATCTTGCGCATTTTCTCATCATCACAATCTTTTTCAAGCTTAACCAATCTGCGCATAAATGCTCGATCAATTCGGAGTTGCTCTCGGATTTCACTATTGAATGATAGAGCCCACAAAATTTCAAAAATGATGGGATACCGATCACACATTTCTATTAGAAGTGGTAGCTTTCTTGAATCGGCTATTTGATGCTGAACAGAATCGTTGCTTGATATACTCAGAAATCCTAAAAAATAATAGAGATGCAATATAAAATATAAATCCATCGATTTTGAGATGATGTAGAAAATCAAATGAGATCTCTATCTTAACGTTTGTCCTTTTAGTTTTCATTTGGAAACTGGATGAGCACGTGATATTAATCCGTTCCCCAGAATAGAAGATCTCCTGTTAATTAATTCATTTCTCAAAATGTTAGAGCTTTAAAATCGGTATATTTACATCAAAATATGACTAGTTTTCAGAGCTTTGAGCTGAAAATCTCAAAATGCTTAGATCGAAGTTATATCTAACTATTGAACACCTTAAAAATGCTGTTCCAAATCCTCAAAATCGTTTTGGTTTTCTGAAAAACTTTTTATATTAAAAATTATACAAATAAAAACGACGTCACAGATGACACCTCTGAAAACTTTGTATTACACTTGAACATAATAGAAGACTCAAAATTTTCTATTGCGGAGGATTTATTTTTTCCGTAAAGGAGTTTATATCAGTGCTACTATGATAATTGATGTACATTTTTATATTGATTCTGCCAAGATTGTTTGAATACTCTCTCGGAAATACTGGAATGAAAAATCGTGCTTACTGTTCAAAAGATTTGGAACAGGTATTTGCTTATATTTTTGCCATGGATGATTCCATGCTTGCTCAAGAATATTCGTAAAGAACTGGCACATATTATTCGCAACTTTCATTTCTTTCAAGTCTTCATCAGATAGAATTCGAGAAAGTATGCCATATGAACATAGACAAACTCGGTCGAAGGGTGATGTTTCAGCCACCGAAATTAGTGTATCCGACAATGATGTAGTCGAACGGATAAAACAATTTAAATTTTCTATATCCAACGAAGTTAATAATAATAATAGAGTAGAGTCAAGAAGCATTGTTTCTTCATTGCTCCATTCAACGGTAATACATTCATGAAATGCGGTGTGATTGACAATGCGAATGAGAGCTTGAACGAATTGGTACGCTTTTTGCTCACAAGGAAGAAGTATTTTGATATGCGATGTCATATTAGTATCCCACCAACAGCACGACGAAATAAAGCTACTTAGATGGGCAATACATGCGAGGAGTTCGGTACTCCACAAATTGACAGTGTGACTTTGAACAAGCATTATTCGGAAATAATCATCAGAGAGATATTCAAGGATTTGTCCACCAGTATATGGAAAATGTTGAACATGAGAATAAATGTAGACTTTTATCGAGAGTGAACACGCTTTCATATAGAATAACTGTTTTGGACTAAAGATAGTTTGAGATACATTCGGTTGATGAAGTTGAGTCAGATATAATCTAAACTGATCTGTCATAATAAAATTGCATTCAATGCGATGATTGACTTGAATGATGGCAGGTGATTCCACGAATTGAACATGATCATATATTAAATGTGAAAGAACATCGAACCATCGACTGGCAATTGTCCATAGCAGATCATCTTCAACGGTAGTTGCCTCGATTCGATCAAATACTGCATTGATCCAATCGACGGTATCAGGAATGAGAAGAAATGCTTTTGTATTAGCTTCGACATTCACATTTCGAAGTAGTTCTCTATTAAAGGATGCCAATGTGTTGAAAAAGTCTACATAGTAATGATTATCATTCCAATGGCGAGAATCATTACCGAGCTCTTGCCATGCCCAATGTTCAATGGTGAGTAAATCTGGCAATGATGCTGAGACAAATGACGATAACGATTTGGAAGTTTGATTTTCAAGAAGATGTATGATGCTGTCTAGTGTCTCGCTGGAAGGTGACGAGCATGTAAGTGCTGTAACCAATTGTTCAATATCGTTTTCCATCATTGTTTTCGTAATTTTTTTGTTTCACATCATGAATAGTAGAAGTAATAAATCATAAGCACGCAATTTTCGTCAGTATTTAATGGACAACACGTACACCTCTAGTCATACGATACGTACGATATCCCTTTTTCTCTTGTTCTTGCTTTTATCTCATTATATTTGTATTACAGGAAAACAAAATAAGTAGGTAGTGCTGACGCATATGTTGCTCCCGTTTTATAATATCGTTCGTTTATTCCTTAATGGTACGTATGTCGAAGGATGTAGAGCGAAGATCAAAATCTCTATCCCGAAAGAAAGTAGAGAAGAGAGAACGAATACATAAAAATGAAAGACGAAAGGATAAAAAAAGAAAGAAAAAGAAAAATAGCAACAGCACTTGATTATTCGATTTCATTGGTTTACTGAAGAATACCATTATAATGCTCTGCTCAGATGTCGCTTTTGAACAAGACAAGTCAGTGGCGGTGATACCCATTATATATTACATAATGATATTTAGCTTTCCTCTCAGCCTCTACTTTCAACTTGATGCTTTTTCGCAGCATATTTCTCCCATGTCTTATGAGCTTTCTGTACTCTGAATAATTATGTATTTTTTTGTTACTTTTTACTTGAACATTTAGTTATTCTGTGTGTAGTATTACTCTGACATATGGATGATGTTGTTACCATCATTACTGCTGTCGATATAGTAAAAGTCTTTAGATGAGATCTTCATCGATAATCATGATATCCTCGAACTTTTACCTCAGGATATTCGATACATACATGTTTTGAGTGTCTTTCGTTTGATACTGGATCCCACTCCAATATCGAACCTCAACGGTATCCATCTCTCTCAAGTTCCGAAGAGTTTTACGAAAATATATGGCTAGAAAGTTGAAGTACAGATGCAAGAACAAAATGAAGAGATCAAACTAATTTGTTGATCATAAAACCTGTCGAGTGGTCAGCTGAAAATATCGACTGATACTTCGAGAGAAGCTCAACGGTCATTTATTTGTATAAAAAGTTTTGTTTGCCATTTATTTGAACAGCAAAACCTGACTTTGCCAATGATGAACTGGTTTGCTCAAAAAGTCACATCTCTCGGAACATTGTCGAACGAACATTCATGAGATGATCCGATGCGAACTCTCTTTTTGAAATAAACTCTTTATCGTTCCATCGATTGCCAAGTGTATTTGAGAGTTCTTTACACTCAACATCTTCCAAGTTTCACCTGAAATATATTCTTTGAAATAAAAGTTAGATATTTCGAGAAAGTTTTTCTAGCGGCCAAATAGTTTTGTTTTGGAATGTTTTCATTTCGCTCACGATACAACAAGCTTCGAAATCGGTAGAAGGAACAGTACATTTGATGGTGTAGTTCTGAGAATTGAAGTGAGAAACAAGACGGCATTTTTTTTGGAAGTTTATGCTTCATGAAGAATCATGTGAGATAGAGAGGAATGTGGCTATAACTATCAACTGAGGTAAGTGCTGACCGACTGCGAATATATTGCTATTTTGTGTTCTTCTTTTTATGTTAATTTGAGAAGATTAATTGGGACGAGAGTTAAGGCAAGTTCAATTTTCTTTTTTTCTGTTCAGTCATATCCATCAAAACTAACAAATGGTCAACTAAGCAAAATAAATTCGATCGATGAGACTCGTTTTTTTTGTTAGCCTAAGCAAGACGCAAATTTCGAAACGATCTATAATACATCGACGACAAATGTGTATGAACTGGAGAATTTTCTCAAAAGTTAAGCAAGGTTTTCAAGAAATCAATGGTTTTCGATTCAAAGAACAACATACCTAGATATAGATTTTTGCAGCTCTTGAATGCAAGATAGAAGCCAGGATGAATAGAACGATACGACTCTAATAAAGAACTTATACTATATAGAAAATAAAGAACGAAAGTGTTTCTGAATTATAAATGCTGAGACTAACAAAAATTGATGCTACGCTCAAAAAAATACCGAAGTTTCTAAAAATCAATGAATCTAGATGAACATATGAAAAGAAAAGTGTTAGAAAATGCAGTACATTTAATCGTTAAACTCGAACTGACAGTTGGAGAAAACGAGGATAAAAATTAAGTCTTTGTGAAATAATATCAGCTCATATCGGACTAATAGAATATTTACGAGAATAGGTCGATATAGTGTTTAAAAGTATCACAGGATCAGTTTCTTTCGTCTCTTATTTGAACTTTGACGAAGAGATCAGTGATCGATGAAATTGGCTGAATCAGATTCAAATTCTATACAATTTGACTCAGCTAAATCTAATAGAATCATTTAACAATTTGATTCAGTTTTGATCTTTGTTCCTGATTTTTACTGTGTTTACCTATATTATGACATTTCAATATTATTATCGAAATTTATTTCGCATGTGAATGTCCTTTGCAATGAAAAAACGAAACATAGACTTTGTGATCAATTGGCAAGGACGAACCAAGTGAAATATTTTGATATAAGATATATCTGAGATTTGTTTAATAAACAAGTGTAATTAAGCGAAAACAATCTGAATATCATCCAGTTTTAGCTATTTGCCATATAAGTATCACCAGTCTGAACACATTATGGTCGAGTATCACTACGTACTGAAGTCATATAATCCAGTAGTAATGGTCGATTATTATTAACGTATTACATGTGATTACCAAGATTCGGAAAGGATTCAACTTTTCTTTAATGAAACTGTCGAGTTAAATAAGGTTTTTTTTTAAGAAAAACTTTTTTTGAAATAAAAAAGCACAAAAGATGGAAACAGTTTTTGATATGCAAACTGAACGAGGTAATGGAGAAAGTGAATTTTTGAAAGTATCTTTGTCAAATATGACAAGCCATTGACTGTTCATCACAGAAGTAATTGCTTGGGAAACAAAGAAATAATTATAAGCAACATGCCAACAAAGATCGATGTACAATGAACCGTTGTTCCATTGCAATTGTCTTTATCCGAACAACAGTACTGCGTTCCAACTGAGCCAATGCTTGTAGCCGAGACGCAACTGCGATGTGAGCCCTCACGAACTGTTATCCATTGCGAGGAGTAACTCAATACCACCTGATACGATGCTTTCTAATTGATAAAAAACAACATTAAAAAAATGAAGAACATAGTGTAGGAATTGTCACTAACAAGACAAGAAACATAGCCTGACTGTGATAAACTACTTAACGTTGATGCATCTATATGAGAAGGATCTTCACAGGCCGAATTAGTTCCACTTGAACACACAATACAATTTAAGCCATCTGTGACGGAGATCAATGCTAGACAGATAGAGATTATCGGATGTATACATCACTCAAATGAAAGAAACACTTGCTCCAAATACTCAGAGACAAAAAGATGAGTACATTCATTTCTGACTTTTGCTTCTTCCAGAAGTATCTACGTGAAGTAATGAAGTAAAATAAAAAAGGAATCGATTTGTTTTGAGTTTATATATAATTGAATGAAGAAGCTCGAGAAGTTGTTAACAAGGACTCAATTGTGAATCTTTTGTGCTACTACGTAGTAACTTTACTTTCATTTTATTTTTATTTTTCTTTGAAAATAGTTATTTGAAGACAAAAATGGGTTATTTCGTTATTGCTGAAAACAATAGTTGCGTGCAACGAGATACGGTTTTGTATTTGATCAAAAAGTAAATACATACAGGCCCCTGATGATGTATTTATTAAAATAATATTTGAATAGTAACTCGTCGATTTAAAGAGAGAATGTTTCTTTTCTTCTGTCATTTTATCAAGAAAGCAAAATGACAAATCAAAACCAATATCGAGAGAAATAGAACTACTATAACATGGTTTCACCTTTCTAAAGATCTCAAAAGACATCTTGAATGTCAAGTGGTCTCATACGATTTGAAAATGAACACAGAATGATTTCTTTGCTGCCAAGGAGTCGAAACTTCTGGAATTGGTAGACATACAATAAAAACAACTAGTATCTTATAGAACCTAACAAGAATTTTGAGAATTGAAATGAGTTCGAAGCCTTTATGAAGTCATGTAGAATACTGTTCTGACTTGTCTTCAAACAAGGTCTCTTAATCGAAGTTTCATACTGCGTGTAATACAATACAATACCGCTCAGTCTGCGCATATCCCTCATTACCTATGCTTAGCCATCTATATTTATATCTCAGCACTCAGTACTTAAGTCTACCGCCTATAGCGATCTCTAATCCTTATACCTAATTCTAACTCACTATATCTATGTCAACCCTCTATATATGTATCAGTGTCCAAACTAAGTTTATGTCCAATCTCATACTGGTCTAGGCAAATCTTAAATCCAAGAACTAAAGTATCCGATGTCGAATCGACGAAGAAGTTTCCGTTAAAACCTCCATTAATCTTGACACAGATATCAGATTCGAGCTCTTGTTGGCGAGCTGTGTTGAAACAATGGCATTTCAGACATTGCAATCACCAATGAAGAAACTAAATTCGAACTCAAATACTAATGGGTAATTTTCCATCAAACCTGTTCTTCTGTAGAAAATTATTCATAACATGATGAATTTTAATTTAATTTCTTTATCGACAATTGTATTACCTCAAATGATATTGTTTCAACACAGTTTATCAATAAGAATTTGAATCTCGCATCTATTAAGAGACTAAAGGATGTTTTAACGAAAACTTCTTCCTCGATTCGACATTGGATGCGTCCATTCTTGGATTCGAGATTCACTTAAAGCATTCTAGAATTGGACACAAATTCAGTTTGGATGCTGATATATATAGGGTGTCCAGTAAATGACTAGAGTTAGAAAAAATTGCATATCTCTCTGCTACGGCTCGAGCAAACAGGCTGATTTTTCTACCAATAATGGAAGCATGTTCACACTTTAAATCCATACAGACAAGATTAGAAAGAGCCTTTGTTAAGTACCACCAACGACCTCAACAAAAAAAATTTTACTTTTTCACAGATAGGAAAAGAACACTATACGGAGTAGCGCAAAAGTCACTTTGCCGCAAAAAAATTGAATATCTTCACTATGGCTCGAGCAAAAGAGCTGATTCTTTTATCAATGATAGAGGCATGTCCAAGCTTTATACTCATAAAGACATGCCTAGAGAGATCCTTTGTTAAGTCTATTGTTTTTTTTCTTATCTGTGAAAAAGTAAAATTTTTTTGTTGAGGTCGTTGGTGGTACTTAACAAAGGCTCTTTCTAATCTTGTCTGTATGGATTTAAAGTGTGAACATGCTTCTATTATTGGTAGAAAAATCAGCCTGTTTGCTCGAGCCGTAGCAGAGAGATATGCAATTTTTTCTAACTCTAGTCATTTACTGGACACCCTATATATATATATTTCTATTCGTCTCTGTTTATGTGTATCCCATATATATATGTATATAATGCTATATTCATACATATGTTCCTATGTCTACTTCTATCCCTTTTGCCCATACGTCGCAAAGTAAGACGACCACTAGCAAAACAAGGTAACAAGGAAAATAATACATGAAGAGTATAATTTCGTTTATTAAATAATCGTCATATGATAAATACAAACGTCAGCAATCTCCAATGTCAATATTTTCTAACAATAAACACAGCAAAAACTATAACAAAATCCATACAAATAGTTGTGCATGAAATGAAAGCATGGAGAACTGTTGAGTGGGCAGATAATATGTTTTCTTTCATCAAAATGTTTAAGATTTTACAGACTCAGCAATTGTACTATATCATGTAAAATACAATAAAGTTTTCAAAATCTCATAAGTGCTATAAGTTACGATTTTGTTTCAGTGTCTTTTCTAGAATAATGATAAGATTAAGTTGCCATAGAATGTTTCGACTCTTCTAAAAGTGATGGCAAACTTCAAAGCAACTGTAAGGAGCTAAGACACGTTTCAATCTTGCTTGAACGTGTCATGAGGGATTTGGATAATTTTGCATCCTCTAATATGGAGTTCAGCAGAATAAATAAGCCTCTCAATATCTGCGCAATATTTCTGCTATACTTTGCCATTTCGACGTATGCTTTTCCAGAAGGTACATCATGCAATTTTTCACAAAACCGAAAGATATATGATAAAACGGGTTTTCGGCAATAAAAACATTGTCAAAACGATAGAATTCCTTCGATTTTCTCGATTCATTCTACTGTGGCTCATAGATCAACCAGAGTTTTCATTACCTTTTATTATTGTGATATACCGGTAGAAATAGGTCAAACCGTCAAAATTCAAATGGCGAAATTCCTCACAATTGGATATGCAGATTATGGAGGTGAAAGCAAGATAAAAATAATCAGGAAGTACTAATAACGTGTATTACAACAACTTTCGAGCATAAGATTGAGTTTTTAAGTTTTGTTGTGCCCTTATGTTTTTAAAATTGTGTCTATCTGTAAAAATAAGTTCGGCCTTTGTAACGACATAAACCACATCCAATAAAACATGAATTAATAGTTAACCAACTCAGTGAGAAGTTGGGGACTATATATAGAGATGTGAGCCGAAGGATCAAACAGCGGCAGTGCCTACTAGACTTTATGTTTTTTTTATACCAGCACCGACGGCTTTGACGGCCAAAAAAACACGTTTTTGCTCTTAAAAGACGGAAAAATGATCTATCGCATATGTATCGATGCCAACGGCGGCGACGCCTTATACTATTATCAAAAATTTCCGTTCGTGGCGGCGGCTCCTAAAAAATTCTTAAAAGTATCTATGATTCTGTGGCGGTAACAGCTTATTTTTCAAAAAAAATTGGCGTGGTAGCAGCTCACCTGTACGGCTTACAACTCTAACAACATATATGTTACGGCCAGATTCTGAATTTGTTCGGACAAAATTGAAATTCGAATTTTGACCAAACTGTCTTTGGAGAAAATTGCAATTCCAGTTTTGTTCGGACGAATTTAGAATCGGGCTAGCAATAATTTGATGCATTTTGCATAGGAAAAAAAATATCAAGAAAGATAACCAACTATTCTGTTTCACAGAGCAGAACAAAAGAAATGTGTAAAATATTCGAGGAATATCTAGTCGTGTCATCCAACAATATGTATAGGATTGTGCGGGTTACAGCGTCAATAAAAAAAACTGGTAACTTTAAAAACGACAACTACGTATATAGATAATAGTCAAAAGCTTTTTTTGTACGAAACATTAGATAAATATATGGTTCCTTGAGTGTAAAAGGACGAGATTGAGTTTGCTAGCAAAATTGACTCTGTTTGAAAGCTTAAAGAAAGTATTACTCGTCATATATAATTTCAAAGGTAATACGGTGCACTTTTTCAAGATACCATCTTATCCTTATCTACAATGGACTGTCACACTGACGCAACGATATACACAATCGAGAGGGCTCAGCTATTTTATTGCGCAGTATAGTAAGATTGTTTCCTAACGAACAGACTGCCTATCAACTACTCTGAGGCAAAACAGCTCCATATACTATCCTATACAATAGTCAATCATTCTCCGTTGTGTACAAAAGTGAATCATCCGAGACATCCACTGTCAGCATAGACAAAGTGATGTTTTGAAATAGTGGAGTTAGTTACCTTTGAAAGTGTATATGATGTGTAACACTGTTAGTTTTCAAATAGGCTGATTTTTTCTATCGAATTCATCTGTGTCCTTTCGAAAGAAAAGCGGCATTAAACGCGATGTTTATGGCGATATCATTAAATGTTTGCCATTACAGAATGCTAAACCGTCTGGCATGTTTTCATCAAAATTTATTTGTATTGAGTAAAACAAAATTTCGTTCTGATGAAATTGAGCGACTTTTGATCCGCTCTCTTTTTCTTCTTTCGTCTTTGCACTATTTTCTTCCACGAATAAATAGAAGAGCAAACGGCAAATTTCCTCAAATCTGGTATAATTCTAAACCATGATCTTGTAAAAATATGAGTGAACAGATTAAAATAATATTAACTGTAACTTGTTTGATAACAACAATACTGTGTGAAATAAAAAAGAAACTCTTTATTTTTTCAAACTCTAACTTTTTTTAACTTGATCAATTTACTTCTAGTCCAATTCTAATTTCATCCGGATAAAACTGGAATTCTACTTTTGTTCTGTCAGAATTAGAATTCCAATTTTGCCTGGACAAATTCAGAATTTGACCATAACATACTATATATTGAATCAAATATATAATATTTGCTATGATTACAATTTCAAATAATGTGTTAAATATGTGACAATGATATTAGTTAAATACTTAGATTTTGAATGAGAACTTATTTTAAAAATAATTTTCTGTGCATAAAGATAAAATTCGCAAGTCGGCAACTCATCGTCATTCACCTGCTTTTCGTTTATCATACAACAATTTGCTGTCTACTTTTATATTGATAAGAACGGTCTTCTTTCTTT